GTGTGTGTGGCCAGCTCAGCCCACCAGGGGGCGGGGCTGGCTGGCATGTGGTGCTGGGGGATTGAACCGCGGTCCCTGTGCTTTGCCAAGCTTGTTCTAAATAGGTGCTTTAGACCACTGAGCCATTTCACCAGCCCTGACATATAGATTTAATTCTATAAAATTAAATTTATTACACTGGGCGTGGTGGCGTGTTCCTCTAATCTCAGTGCTTGGGAGGCTGAAAACAGGAGAATCACTATGAGTCTGATCTACAAAGTGAGACCCTGTAGACCCTGTCCTAAACACAGAAAAAAATAATAAACTGAATTTGTTTAATTTTTTTTTGCCTGAGGGTAGGCTGCCGCAGTTTGTGGTGCCGGGAATCAAATTGCGGTCCCCTATGCCTGCTCAAGCTTGCCTAAGCTAGCGCTTTAGACATCTGAGCTATCTCGCTGACCCCAATTGAATTAATTATAATCATTAATTGTAATTGTAAATTAATTGTAATGTAATTAACAAATTAAATTAAACCGCATACCACACAGAACTAGAAAAAAATACCATAAGATTTTATTATTATTTTTTTACCATAAGATTTATTCGGACATAGAAAAGTCCTAGAAGAGCAAAAGTAATCCTGGGCAACAGCGACAAAGCAGGAAGCACCACAATTCAGGACTTCAAGTTATACAAAGCTGCAGTGATAAAAACAGCGTGGCACTACGCAAACACAGACATGTAGAGCCGAGCACGGCGGTCCCCGACTACGGTCTGCGCCCGGGGGAGGACTGCATGCATCTGATGCCAGCTGGACTACACAGGGAGCGCAAGGTCAGCCCGAGCTACACAGCAGGACCCTTTCTCAAAAACAAAACAGAAACACAACACATGTACACATCAGTGGAACAGAAGATGTAAAAACAACCCCAGGCCTAGTAAGTCATCTAATCTTCAACAAAGGGCCTAAAAAGCACGTGCTGGAGAAAGACAGACTGGAGAAAAGAGCGTCTTTAAAATGGTACTGGAGGGGCTGGAGAGATGGCTCAGTGGTCTAAAGCACCTACTTGAAACAAGCTTGGCAAAGCACAGGGACCGCGGTTCGATCCTCCAGCACCACATGCCAGCCAGCCGCGCCCCCTGGTGGGCTGAGCTGGCCACACACACACACAATAAATAAATGTAATAAATAAAAATAAAAAATAAAATAAAATAAAATGGTACTGGAAAAACTGGTTAAACACATGCAGAAAGATTTAACCTAGGCCCACATCTACCACCATGCACCAAAATAAAATGAAAATGGATCAAAGACATAGATGTTATTATTTATTTATTTTTTGGTGGAACCGGGGATTGAACTCAGGCCCTTGCGCTTGCCAGGGAAGCGCTTATTCCACTGAGCCATCTCCCCAGCCCCAAGACATAGATGTTAAACAGAAACATTTTATCTGCTGGAAGATAAAATAGATGAAACTCTTGAAGATACAAGCACTTTTCCCAATTGCACAAGAAATAGCATCAAGAATCAACATATGGGGCTGGCCAAATAGCTCAGTGGCTTAAAGTGCCTGCAAGCAGGAACAGGGGCCAGGGTTTCATCCCCAGGCCTGCCTTGCTGGCCCCGCCCCGGGGGCGTGCTGAGATGGCAAATGAGACTGGGTGTGGTGGTGCCTGCCTGTAATCCTAGCTCTTGGGAGGCTGTTAACAGGCGGATCACTAGTCCGATCTAGTAGTGAGACCCTGAACAACCTATAGACCCTTCCCTAAAAAATAAAAAAATAAAATGGAACTAAATCAAATTAAAAAGTTTCTGCACAGCAAAGAAAACAATTATGTGAAGAAAATTTACAGAATAGGGGAGGGGAATGAAAGCTACTTCTCTGAGATTAATGTTTAGAATTTACAAGAATTCAAGAAAAAATCAATAGCAAAGTGTGATGGTACATACCAATAATCCCAACACTCTGAGGCTGAGGCAAGAAGATTACTGTGAGTTCAAGGCCAGCCTGAGCTACACAAGCAAGTTCAAGGCCAGTATGCACTGAATAGCAAGGCTCTGTCTTAAAAAAAAAAAAAAAAAAAAAAAAAAATCAGAACTGGCTAAAATAAAAAGACCCACTCCAAAAGTGGGAAACTGAAATGAAGTAGACATTTCTCAAAAGTACAAATGGCCAATAACTACATTAAAAAATTGCTTCACATCTCTGGCCACTAGAGAAATGCAAGTTAAAACATTAAGACCCCCATCCTACTCAGAAAGAATGATCACCATGAAAAATTTTAAACAATACCAACTGCCGGGAGGCTAAGGGGAAAAAAGCACTCTCCTATGTTGTTAGTGGGAATTTAAACTGCTACAAGCACTAGAGAGATCATAAGGCGATTTCTCAATCTATTCATCAACAAATACAATGGGCATGCTCCACCGGCCCCACCCCTGGGCTGCCAAACCTGACCCAGTCCAGGCGGGCGTGGCGCTGCCTGCCTTTAATCCCAGAGCTGGGGAGGCTGAAAACAGGATCTACAAATCTAAATCTAAGCTGTGTTGTGAGACCAAATAAATAGATAAATAAAATATTAAAAAATACAAATAAAGAGAATGTATTTGTACATAATGGAACCCTACTCTGACATAAAGGATGTATTTCATTGTTTAAGGAAAAAATGTGGGGCCAGGGAGATGGCTCCGTGGAATAAGTGCTTCCCTGGCAAACGCAAGGGTCTGAGTTCAATCCCCGGTTCCACAAAAAAAAATTTAAAAAATAAAAAATTTTTTAAAAATTAAGGAAAAAATGTGTGCATCCTAAAACTGTAATGTTAAGTGAAACAGGCCAGACACACAGACTGAAATTCACAAAACGTATCTTATATGAGAAAACCAAAGTACAGCTGTTCTTTAAGGGGCTCGATAAAATTAATTTTAAAAAAAGAAAAGGGAGGGAAAAAAGCAGCAAGGCCTATCAGGTACAGGTACAAACTCCCAATGATGAATATAAGCGTGAGGCGTATCTAAAATGGACAATAGGGGGCCTGCCCATTAGCTCCTCTGTTTAAGTGACTGCTTAAACAAAGCAGTCAGGTTCAGGGTGCTGTGGTTCGATCCCTGGATCCTCAAGCTTTGCCAGACCTGCCCTGAAGGCATCCTGAGCCAGCCCCCCGAAAAAAAATCCTTAAAATGGGTCAGGGCTGGGGAGATAGCTCAGTAGAATAAATGTTTGCCTGGCAAGCGCAAGGGCCTGAGTTCAATCCCCGGTTAAAAAAAAAAAAAAAAAAAAGACAATAAAAGGTGAAATAAAAAAACAATGGGAATCAAGGAGATTAGTCTTCTGCAAATGGGAATAGAATCGGAGACTGAGGGAGCAGGGAGGAAAAGCAGAACAAGGGAAAGAAGAAGGGAATTAAGATCTGCTGGAAGCACACTCCACTCCCAAGACTAATTTGTCATTATGTACTCAGGAAAGATAGATAAAGGACAGAGCCCCTCACAGCCAGCCCCTCACAGGGAGGTATTACGTGTCACTGATGAAACAGACGATCTTCTTACGAGGGGAGGGAAACCATCTAAGACGTCTTTTAATTCCAATACAACTCCAAACTTT